TTTTGCTGGTTTATTTCGAAACAAATCTTTATTTGGATTTCATTTGAACACGTTCAACTGTTTCATAGTTGGTAAATTGAAAGGATAAATATGTAGTTTGTTTGTCATCGTGTTTAATTTATTTGAATAACTACATTTGTTCATCAACGTGGTGTATTTTTCTATATATTCATTATATTGTTATGCTATGTTTTTCCATAACGATCAAAATTAACTTTTCTAAAAATAAATAGTTGTCTTCATAATGAAGCAGTTTCAAATTTGCTAACAGGATCGTGTCCCATTGAAAGCAAATACGAAAATAAAGCTGACTTGTACTTTCCGGACATCTGTTGACAGATTCCCAAAATCTGCCATGATATGTCTCCCTTCATTATAGATAGAGATTTTAGTTGGTCTTCGAAAACTAGTGACTCAAGTTCTTCTAATGATGATGGTGCTTTCACAGGATCAATTATTGTGTAGCACAAGAGCTCCAGCATGTGCATTAGAAGAATAGCTGGAATAAACATTATGTTAAAAACTTCGAGGCTATTCAAACTGTATTGCTGTTCGAGATATAATTCCTCGATGTTACCGATGCCCTTTTCCAGATTTACTAGCCCTGCCTCCAGCATTTTTTACTTATAAATCCAGAGTCTTTATTCTAATTCGCTTGCATCGATCTCTTTTTCTTTAAAATATCCGTTCATGTCCCTTACACGTTTCTGATGTAGTTTGACCTTTGCAATTTCTAAACTTGATAAAGCTTCCAAGTATCTGCAGGTCCTATAAAAATACATGGATAAAAACAACCTTTCAGAAAGACTTCCAAATTTTACAGCTAGTTTCAGCATATACCTGGACAGTTTGTCAGCTGTATACTTTAGTTTGTTTCCTCTTTTGTTAAATAACTGATTATGTAATAAAAATGCAGTGCTCTGAAAAAGAGTGGTTACCATTTTTTCCAACAAGACGACTTTATACCGCGACAGTGATCCAATTACCAATTGCTCAAGTACTTGTAAGCTTTGTATGCAACCGAGTAGATTATCTCTATGTAACAAAGTACATATTCCCAATTCTTGGAAAGTTCTTTCTATATCGGATTTCAAAATATGTTCATCTGTGCAAATAAGTTGTCCAGAGTTATTCAGTTCATGTATCATATAACTGCTGATTGTGGAACTGTATAGTAGAGATGAATATCCTCTCTCATACAACGCATACAGTTTAATAAATAAATCATTTTGTGCTTTCCCGTATATTTTTTCCAAAAATATGTTGTTTAATGGGATGAAAAAATTAGGACAAACTCCTTCATACACACATTTAAGAATATACCTAAACGAATCCAAGAAACAGTCGGTCAGAGTTTGAGGACACCAGTGACTCAGATCACCATCAACCTTATATGCAATGCATAAAAATAAATTTACTGAACCTATCATATTACACCGACTTTCATGTAGTAATATACCACAGGAACCGGTAACATACTTTTTTGCGTATACTTATATATTAGTATCTTTTTGTATATATAGTGATTGCGTAAAATCTAATATAGTATGTTGCCGGCCCCTGTGTAATATACTGTACATATGAAAAACTCTACATAAAAATGTGAACTAACTTACGTCTTTACTGAAAAGTGTTTTTTCTGGTAGAAATCCTAGGTTCACATCTGTATTTTCAAATTCTTTTTTATATGTAGTTTCACGTTTTATCACTAGAATGAAATCACTCTTATAGTTGGAATCAGCAGCTCAAAAATAGGCTTTAGTCTTGAAGTTTTCTACTTAAATTGACCTTCTGGGACTTGTCAAGTATTTGCATTCGCTAGAGTAGTTAAAATTGAGTCGTATCATCATTGTCACGCTTCAAAACTTTCCTTCTTTTTGATGCGCATTACAGGTAAAAAATGTAAAGCTAGTGTATTTTGTAACCCTGAGAGAATAAGGCTATTGAAAGACATAAGGTTTTATTAAATATCTGCCAATCCATGTATCATATTTTGTTGGAAAAATGTATTAAGTATATTTAAGTTGTTATAAATGGCGTGCAACACATATATTGTTTACTGGTTTAACTAAAGCGAGAATCCAGATTAATTATATCATCGTTTTGTATTCGTACAAATCTTCTATGACATAAAAAATGCAATATCTCTTCCTTTCAAGAATCTTATAATCACATTGCTTTTTATTTGAAATTCTTTGAAATTTAATCAGCAACAAAAAGAAAACATAAATAGTACGTAACATTCTAAAATCAAATTTCTGTGAAGCACGGAGTCCATGTCATTCATTAATATTTTTTTATAATTAGAGGACTTCTGAAATAAGATAAGGCATAGCAAAGAGGAGCTTCAATAATAATAAAGTGTACTTTGTTACATTTTATTTATATGCTTTTTCTCGGTAATGTCACTTGAAAATGACTCAGACATGAAGTTAAACAAGTACTTTACTTGTGAGTACATTACCGGAGAATATGTCATGCGAGAGAACCAGTTTCCTTAGCTTCCGTGTTTACCATTTAATAACTTACTGTTTACTGTTTAGAATGTACTCCTGTTTTGAAAAAAATAAGATAACGAACAGAGTGTGATCTCAAATAATCTATAAATAATACAAATCTGTGAAGAGAGCAATCACACGGACCCCTGGGAATTCCAGACGTGGGATTCGGTGCTGAGGAGAAATAAGCATTCTCAGAAAACCATATACAACAGTGCCGTGAATATAGGTCTATCCTGAAAATGCTAAGACCAAATTTTAATTCTATTTATATGTTTTGAACAATATATGTAAAGAAAAGTACTGTTGCTTTTAATGAATCTGGAGAATGCATAGGCATTCCATAACAAATTTATCTCTGTATTGTTTTTCAGATAGATTCTATTTTTACTCTCTGACAAGCTCAGCAAATTAAAGATCACCTGAAATCATTAGACAAGAAAAGTGAAGACATAACAAATGTAAATATCGAATATTTATGTTTCTACAACACTAATTCTTTAATTCCAATAGGTTATTGTGATGTCATACTAGTAATCAGTTGACGTACCTTTGAGTTCATTTCGTTTTCGGATTGTTTGCAAATCCTGAATACATGGTCAGAATAAAAAAAAAACATTGTTAAACTTGTTATATCCTGGTCTACGAGGGTTGTCCCAAAAAGTCGTAGACAATGTGTATAATTTTTTAAATACGCAACCAATACTTACCAAATTTTGCAAAGACATTATATAGTCAATGTTCTTTAAAATTGTGAATTTTATATACATATCTTTCATATTAATAATATTAGGACGATTTATATGAAGGCTGATAAGGCCTGTCGGCGCACGGACAAAATTCGGAATAATTTACGCATATAATTACTACATTTGCTTTCATTTCTTTAGTACTATGTAATACATTGAACTCAAATTTAAATCACTGACACCAAAATGAAAATCTAAATATGGTGTCAAAATTTCATAGAAATTTCGTTAGAAACAGAAGCTTTGGTGTCATGATTTTCAAAGTATCGTTGAAATTGAGTATGATGAAAATGACGTCGTCAAACGCGTAGTCGGCGCACGGAGATGTAATAAATTGTATTGGATATGGTTAATATACATCAGAGACGGGGAAAAGGGTACAGAAGTGACATTACACACCAGATTTTGATAAAGAAATTATTTTTAAATTCCACGATATTCAATGAGAGTTTTTCTTCTGTACCGAAAATAGTTAATTACGGCATGTAATAAGTAGAGTACTGTTTGATAAACGCAGACAATTGGGAACAATCTGGACCGCGAACGACGTCAAACAATGTGTATTCTCTGCTGCCTACAATTTAAGACGATCTTTCGACTAAATTTCGACTGAAATTTGAACCTTCTTTAAAAAAAAACAAATATAAAAAACAAACGGACATTAGTGAATTTAAACATGTCCCTTAATCAAAAATGGTCTATCACTTAAAAAAAAATTATTGAATGTTAATACCCGCGAGAGAAGCAGACAAATAGATCATGACGTTATAAGAGACGTAATTTACGCTTGCTTTCGTGCGCCGGTGTACACTTATATTCTTTCTTTATTTTTACATAATTCTCTTATTAGATGTGATATCATCATGAAACTTGAAGTGCATGATCATAAAATGTTACTCTTTGCTATGACAAGGAAAGAAATTTAATAAAGCAAAGAGAAAGAAAGCTGTTATCCTTGTCTACGACTTTTTGGGACAACCCTCGTATATTAGAGGGAGAAACTTGCATGCATCTTGTTTTTCCAAAAACAGTAAAATTTAGTTCATGCTTCAAATATTTCTCTTTAATACACATAGACCTATGACGTATTTGCAAAAAAAGTATCGATATGCGATGTTATTCCAATGCACAATATATATTCCTTTCACGCTTTGATACACAATTTACTCACGAATTAAACAATTATTAGAAAAAATGACTAGAAATTTGAGGAAAATACAAGTTGAATACCATATAAACGGGTTGAACTCGTCACAATGTTCATAAGACCCTGTTAGAAGGAGTTAGTCTTAACAAGATACATAAGGGCCGATTCACTACTGAGTATAAGCATATGATATATTTATTCAATACAATCCAAGAATAATATAGTATTCTTTGCACATAGTTTACTGTACAAACACCTTTGAGAAGATTTCAGATTAAGACTCCGAGTAAATGATTATAAGAAACATGTTTAAGTCTTTCTCTGTATATTGTTAATTAATGTTTTAGCCTCAGGGGAATATGTGTTTAGAAAATATTTAATTGAAACACGAAAGAGAATTATTATTATTATTTTTTTTTTGATTTTAAGTATTTCAATGCTTCTTCATCTCAAGCTATTTTAGCAATAAATTTAAACCCTATTGGTGCACTTTTGAACAAGTTCGTGTTTAATGCTAAAAAAGGAACATTTTGATATAGTTTTCACAGCATGACGTATATTACGGAAAACCAAAATATTACATAACCCTCTTTCCAATAGGAAATGATAACAGTAAGCGTAGGATTATAATGTATATATACATGTAGGTCTTGTTAACTTTCATAACATTGATCGGGAGCCAATATTTACAAATCAGTCTTATGTAGGAAAATAAGAAACGGGTATGTGAAATTAAAATTCATTTTATCATAAAATGTGTAGGTTTTTTAGAAGGTGTATGTTTAAAATAAGTCAGTACACATTTACTATAAACAATCTGTATTGGACATGTCATTATATTGTTTTTATAACACAAACAGATTTTCCAGAAGAAAGTACATTCTATAAAACAGGAGAAATGGGCAGCTCATCAATTCATCTCAGATCGAATGTATCAGGATTCGCCGAAGAGAAAGCAGCAAAAGAAAACCATACAGTTTGGTATCCATCGTCAACAGAACAAACTCTTCAAAAACTTTGGAACGAAACGAGCAAATTTCCTGTTGATTACAGCTGTCCTAACATGTCCGGTGCTGTTTCGTTCAAATTCTATTTGTTCAGTTCCGAAAAAAGTAATCTTACCTCGGATGGATTTGATAGATGTATCGTGGTACTAGGATTAATAATTGGGTTTCTAGGTTTCGTTGGAAATTCTGCCACCATCTTCAAAATTTTGTGGGATAAAAAGTTCCATACTCCTACATTCATCGCTTTAGCTTGCCTTGCAGTCCCAGACCTTCTAAATATCATCAATGTTTGCCTTAGTAGATTTTCCAACCTTCCTTTGTACATCAGAAATAATTATATCTCGCCCGAATGTGTTTCAGCGTTCATTATAGTGTATTTCCTGTATGAAACGATTTATACTAGCTCAAGTGCACACATCGTGTTCCTTTGTTTGATAAGATATTTATTGACAGTCCATCCTCTAAAGGCCAAAATACGACTAACAAGGATAATGGTTATGAGATGCTCTATCATGATATGGATTTTTTGTTCCCTGTTTTCAGCATCTATATCAATAATAATATCAGGACATGGTAAAATTTCGACAGATGAGGGAAAAATTCGTTCAATTGCAAGCTTTTCTACAAGAATTGCAGTCTCAGGGCTGCTGTCTATATGTGCCATCGTTACCATACATATTTTGAAAATGAAAGCCCTTAAACATTCCTCTACTACCAAAGGCATCAATAGAAAAATGCATATTATAATATCCATTATATTATTAATTTTCACGTGCTTTCAAATTTTCCGAATAACATGTTTTATATCTGGATTATCTAAATCATTTTCTTTCGAACACAGTATGTTTTCAGAAAACCATTATCCATACGTACATGACATTGTTTTCCTCCTTGTTCTCCTAAACTTCGCCTGTAATCCTTATTTACTCTTTTTTGCTTCGATGATCGTTTCATGCAGAAAACGTTTCCATCCTACGAAGTCAACGAATGTTCGAATAAATGAAAGACATTTCTTTTAGACTTCCTAACATCTGTGTAGATTTGATTCAATGTTGTTTAAAGTCCTTCTAGGGAATTTTTCACTTATATGGAGACGCCACCACTTGCCGCTGAAGAGCTGTAAATTTCTATCAAATGCTAGGCCGCATGGCTATTGAAGAGCAAGGGATCTTTTTCGTGCCAGTACCTACTGCGACACGGGACCTCCATTATACGGTCAAATCCGGTCTCCACGTCACACAGTGGGATTCGAACTTGCTACGTAAGGATCAACTTCTATATCAGACACTCTAACCACTGCGCCACGCGGGCAACCCTAACATCTAACATATGTTACGAACGTTTACTTATAACATTTTGTCAGTGAAAGTTTACCGCCAACAATAGCACTTACATAAAAAAAGCTCATACTGCAAATTTGTAAAATAAAACACAGCAATTTGAATAAGAATCAATGTAAGTTTATAAGCAATTATATTTGTCCTTGTAAAAATGACAATTTAATTCAAGAATTATGTAACATTTCATTTATCTAATTAGAAAGACAATCAATGTAATACAATGCAATTATTTTATAAGCATTTTTATGATGGACATGATACCACATATTTTTTTATTGCTGCACAAACGCAAAATTCATTAATTTTGCTAGTTTATTGTGAAACAACGCTTTATTTCTATATGTTAGTTAATTGATAAGATAAGTGTGAAGTTTGTTTGTCTTTTTATATTTTTTTTTGGATCAATTACATTTGTTCAAAAGCGTAGGGCATTTATTTACATATTGTAATGCTATATTTATCCAAAACGATTAAGACAACGTTTCTAAAATTAGGTTCTTGTCTTATTAATGAAACAGTTTCAAATTTGCAAACAGGATCTTGTCCATCGAAAGCGAATATAAATATAAAGCCGATTTGTACTTTCCGGACATTTGTTGACAGATTCCTAAAATCTGCCACTATATGGATCCCTTCATTATAGATGGAGACTCTAGCTGGTCTTCAAAAACAAGTGACTCCAGTTCTTGTAATGCTGATTGTGCTTTTACGTGCACTTGGTCAATCTGTGAGTAGCACAAGAACTCAAGCATGTGCAACAGAAGAATGGCTGGAATAAACGTTATGTTAACATCTTCGTAGCTATTCAAACTATATTGCTGTTCGAGATATAATTCTTTGATATAACAGATGTCCTTTTCAAGATTTGTTTGCCCTGCTACAACCATTTTTCTTTTGTTAATCCAGATTCGTTTCTCTAATGCGCTTGCTTCGATCTCTTTTCCTTTAAAACATTCATACATGTCCCTTACACATATCTGATATAACTTGACCTTTATCATTTCTAAATTGGTTAAAGCTTCCAAGTATCTACAGGTCCTATAAAAATACATTGATAAAAACAACCTTTCAGAAACACTACCGAATTTTACAACTAGGGTCAGCATATACCTGGACATTTTGTCAGCTGTATACTTTAGTTTGTTCCTTCTTTTGTTAAAGAACTGATTGTGTAATAAAAATGCAGTGCTCTGAAAAACAGTGATTACAATATTTTGTAACAGGACGACTTTATACCGAGACAGTGGTCTAATAATCAATTGCTCAAGTATTTGTAGGCTTTGTATGCAACCGAGTAGATTATCTCTATCTAATAAAGCAATTATTCCCATTTCATATCAAAGTATGTTCATCTGTGCAAAGAAGTTGTCCAGGGTTATTCGGTTCATGAATCATATAACTGCTGATTGTGGAACTGTATAGTAGAGATGAATATCCTCTCTCATACAACGCATACAGTTTAATAAATAAATCATTTTGTACTTTCCCGTGTATTTTACCCAAAATCATGTTGTTTTTTGGGATGAAAAAGTTAGGACAAACTCCTTCATACACACATTTTAAAATATACCTAAAGCAAACCAAGAAACACTCTAGGAGATTTTGTGGACACCAGTCACGAATTGTATTTTGCTGAAGCACCCAGAAAACTGCTGTTTTCATGTGATATGAGCACAGTAATTTATCCTCAGTACCTAAACCATCCTTTATAACTTCTTTTAAGAACAATTTAAGCAAGCCATACGTTAAAAACTGAGAGTGGTTCATAGAGAACACAAGTTTTTGTTCTGCAAGAGAAAAAGAGATTCTCCATTCATCGTCTTCATGATTTCCTTGTTTGTGTCCAATTGGTACGACGTGACATCCACTTTTCACTATTTCATTTACTATTTGAGATCCCGGCCAGACGTGAGATCTGGCTATCCATGGGAAAGCCCATGGAGGCCAAATATCAGAAGCAAAACAATGAGCAGTATCATGATTCATATCGTACATAAAACCACTGCTACATGGTCCATGTTCTGTAAAATCTGGAAATAAGCCAGAAAGTGTGATTTTTCGGAGTGCAGAACTAGATATGAAAAGTCTGTCATTGCTACTGATACATGCAAGATACACACTTTCCATATTTGTTTGTGTGATTAATACTAGCTGTGTGTACCCTGGCGGGCTATCAGAGCAGTCGGAGAGAATCAATGTGTGTTTATCTCTATTGTAATTTCGTGTCTGTTCCATGTCCCAGATAACTTTATGGTCTTTAGACCACAGCATAATATCCATGTCTGATCCTTTAAATCTGAATCCTTCTCTACGACTTCCACTGGGCAAAAATCGGAACTGAACATCTGCTCCTTGCAATGTATCTACCATTTCGATAAGATCCAGGGCATCTCTTCTCATTGCAACCTGTTGAGGAGTCCCTAAGGTATGGCACAGTCCCTTAAACAATGATTGTGATATAAGCTTCATGCCGATGTCTCTGAAAATGTAACATAATGAAAAATAGCATTAATATACATTATAAAGTGTTCAAAATATAGTTTGAATTGTCAGAAATATTACATTAAACATTTTTTTTTTACGAAATCTGAACCTTAATATTTTCACTTAACCCTAACATTCGTTAAATTTTGACAACTCTCCAAGAAATTAATTATGCGGAGACTATAGGATATGAAGCACTTAAAATACGTACTCGAAAAAGAAAATACAAAAAGCTAGTTTATTTAATTTCTTTTTTGTATCACACATGTACGCTAAAAGTTTTAGAAATTATACTGCCCTCAAAATCAAAAGGGGTCTTTCTAAGGACAAAGGCAGTTATGTTTTACTTATGCAACAAAAATGCTTTCTGTGGTTGTTACGGAAACTAATGACGCAGCTATTGCAGAAAAAATACGTAACCCGCGTAACAGATTTTATTTTTTTATATTTATATATGTATAAATAATAATTTAAAGTAGGATAAAAACAGATTGATTATTGTATAATTGTATTACGCCATATAGTATGTTTCATTGATGGAACACCCACTGGTGTTTTTGTACAGGTGATATACCTTGTGTTGTCCATGAACTGATCAACTGCAATGGTTCTCTTAATTAATAAAGGAGAAAATATTCAGTGGAATGTAAAAAAAAAATTCAAAGTGGACTTCTTTGTTAGCATTTTCTGTATTTTAAAGGGAACAAATCCGCCTTTCTCTTGCAGTTTTAAAATCACTCTATTGTTATTGTTAGGTTGCATATGAATGAACTTTAAAGAATTCTTTAGACCATTGTTTTCATTTCAATTCAAACGTCATTGCATTATTAAATTCTAATCGGAAAATATTGGGATATTAGATATTTGATCAATTTCTACAGAAATATGAATGATATAAAACATTTTGTCACGGAGTAATATTTCTATAGTGAAATAATTCCACCTTTTGTAAACAAGCTCAAACAAGCTGCGCGATTTTTTTTTTCAAGTTTTCTCTTGTAAATAAGTGTAATACATGATACTCAATTATCGACAATGATAAAAAGTTTAGATTCATATTAAGATTGATAATTAACGTAAAATAAAATTAATACAACAAGATATCACTTACTTTTTCGACATAGCGTCTGAATCCATAATTTTTTTCTTATTGAAAGTTACCAGTAAAATTACCAGACTCAGAGAATTAGACAAAAAATCCTACTGGGGTATTTTTAGTTTGTAGCAAACTTTAAAGGGAATTCGATACCAAGTAGGCCATAATATGATTAATCAATATTCATACGTGTTTTCCCTGGTAGAGTTAACCAAGGGTTTGTTAAATACAATTTGTTCAAAGTAACTGAATGTTAAAAAGGTGAAATTATTTCACTATAGAAATATTACTCCGTGACAATTCCTGATTAGAATTTAATAATGCAATGACGTTTGAATTGAAATGAAAACAATGGTTTAAAGAATTCTTTAAAGTTCATTCATATGCAACCTAACAATAACAATAGAGAGATTTTAAAACTGCAAGAGAAAGGCGGATTTGTTCCCTTTAAAATACAGAAAATGCTTATAAAGAAATAAACTTCCAATTTTTTTTTTACATTCCACTGAATATTTTCTCCTTTATTAATTAAGAGAACCATTGCAGTTGATCAGTTCATGGACAACACAAGGCATATCACCTGTACAAAAACATCAGTGGGTGTTCCATCAATGAAACATACTATATGGTGTAATACAATTATACAATAATCAATCTGTTTTTATCCTACTTTAAATTATTATTTATACATATATAAATATAAAAAATAAAATCTGTTACGCGGGTTACGTATTTTTCTGCAATGGCTGCGTCATTAATTTCCGTAACAACCAAAGAAAGCATTTTTGTTGCATAAGTAAAACATAACTGCCTTTGTCCATTCTGTGCAAAGGACGATCCGGAAATTTATCGATGTTCACCTTTTCATCAAGAATGTTTTATTGGGTGAAAATTCAATGCATTATAGGAATATGTGACCAGATTATTCAAACATATATGGATTTTGTATAGAATAAAATATAGAAAAGTACAATGTATTAGAAAGAGAGCTCAAATGTTGTTGTTGCGGTTATTGATGCATTTGTTGTTAATGTTGCTGCGGTTGTTGACAAATTCCCTACCAAGTTAAAGGTAGAATTTGTCCAATTATTTTATTTTTTCTTCCGTGTAGGGGGTGGTGTTAAGTGTTTAGCTTTGAAATGCTTTTGAAATCCCAAACTGTCTGTCTTTCCATTCGTCTGTCTGTTCTTTGTCTCTGTATACAATTTTTAAAAATTCCACTACTTTTATAGTGTTCCTGCAATTTCAGGACTAATGGACACAAAAGTAAACTACACTCAGGTACACAAAGCTGCATATCGTTTATTCTTTAATTAGTTGAATAATGTTGCCATGACCACATAAAATACTTTCACAAAGCCAATTTTCCCACAGTTTTTGTCTGCCTTCATTAAAATTAGGCATACAAGTAGAGAACAGAATAAAATATATTTTTGAATATTTCTTTATTTCTTTTTTTCGATGACGGGTGTTGCCATTGTTATTAAAATTAATGTCTCTATGAAATTGATAAAATTCTTTTCCCCTCATTATTTTGGTCTGATTTCAATTAAACCTGACGTACAACATGTACAAAAATACATTAAGATTAATAATTTTTGTGTATCATATTTTTGATTTTAAGACAAAACTATTGATCATTTAATTAATATTACAAAATGAAAATTTGAATTCTAGTTTGCAGTTTTCATGATCATAATGAAAACGCCTTATGCAAAATAATGACAATAAAAATTGCAGAAAATGATGCTGTGCATGAAAGAAAAATTAAAAATTAAGAATTAAAACCTTCTACTGATAATAACAAGGCAGAAATTAATAGCAAGCGTTTTCGTGATTTTAATAAGTCTAACAATAGGATAGAAGAAGAAACAGAAGAAGCAATGCTTAAAAAATATTGAATATAGTCTGTTCCCCATTCATTTTACCCTGTTGTTTCAGGTAGACTGAAGACATTCTCCTTCTTTTGGTCAACACTTTTATATACAAAACAATGTAAGGAACCCTTTTGTGTATACAACAATACCAATGCTGAAGCAGCACATGTCATTTCTATAAACTCTGTAACTCATAAATCGACACTTAGTTGGTCATTTTTCACACTTGAGTTACCTGTGCTTAAAACACAACATCGTAGAAGTCAACTACAAATAATTAAATTTTTAGTATTTTAATTAAAGGTATGCATAAGTTTCTATCTTATTTGATAATTTCATGTACATATTATTCTATCTATGAATTTTTCAGTATAAGCAACTTGAAAAATCAGCTGAAAGGCCTACCTACCAGTCCAAAGTCTAACTTCTGACGTAATTATAGCATTCAATATACCTTAGGATCACTATAATGTTTAAAAAAGACAACAATGATAATCCGCTTTCCGAATGTAGTTTATCTATTTATAAACAACCATACAGAATAACCGAAAAATAAGAAAAACAATGAAGACTGTATTATTTGTCTGGAATTACCCCATGTCTAGAATTGGACGGATCTCCCGTAATACATACTTAATTCTATGCACAATTCACGTCTTCAATATTTTGTCACATAAGGATACATGCATAACTCTTTAATATTGCCAAAAAACCTTTGGCATTTGCCATATAAGATTTTACTGTCAATAATATCAGTACAGGGGAATACCCTTCGCATTTGTTGTATACACCTATCTGCTTTTATTGTTAGCTGTTCATGCTGATTCTCTTGCATTACCTTTGTTTACATTGTATTGCTGTTACGTGAATTCGTGTTTGTTTACATACTACATTGCCTTGTGCAACTGTTGTATGTTTGTTTGGTATCTTTTCTCTTACACAGCTTCTTTGTCGCTATACCGATTGCTCTGAAGCATACGTGTTTCTAACATAGGTGTCAACTGATTACACTGAGCAGTACCTAAGTGAGCACATTATATAGACCCCTCCCCCACGCACACACACCTAAGAGGTCACAAGATAAAACACTTGAACATGTTTTATAATTTATGTGATTTTAATATAATGTTGAAATGTTAGATTTCTTTCGTTGTTGATTTCCATTTGAGGACAGTTTTCATACTCATCAATTTACTTCAAAGATTGCCGTTTTTCTTGAAGTTTTTGGATGAAGAGATCAAGTACCTCTCTTTCTTCTAATGCTGATCTTTTCCCCAATAACATTGCCATCTCTGGTAATAATGCGAGAAATGTCTCTCCAAGTGTTGCTCCAACGGTTGTGGCGGCTCCGGCAAGTGCAGTTGCACCGGCTGCAACACCAGCTGTTGCTAGTGCTGGTACTAGTTGCGGTTGGTGCACTAACACAGTTTGGGGACTACTTGGAGGACCTTGTAAAATAAAGATCAGAAAACAGCCATTATAATTTGCTCACAATTGTGTTCTCTTAATTGTCTAAATCTTCTCAAAATAATATTATTTCACAACAGAAATCAAATTTAACAATAAAACTTTAGCGCCTGAAATTTATTCTATCTATCATGTCTTTATATATATTTTTCATCTACAGTTTAACTATACCTTCTTTTTAAAAAAAAATTAACATCAGCATTTCTTGCAATTGGGAGAAATGAAATCCGCAAAATTTTATAATTTCAGATTTAAAAGAGTGTTGTAAATAAATGCATCTGTTATATAAAAGACGGTGGAATGTAATCTGCTTGTTAAAATCTCAATCTGACTTGATTTAAAAAAAAAAGGAAACTTACATGGTTTTTTAACACAGGCACCGACCTCTACTGTATCAAAACAATCTTCTGCATGCGGCGTGTCACCAGAGACAACTTTGACTGGGACTCTGGTCTTAGTTTGAACACCAATGCCACATGTCACAGAGCAATCTTTTACCCATCTTGTCATTTGGCACTTTTGAGCTTGAAAAGAATTAAGAATATTATAACTCTTGTTTATTTGACAATTTCTAAAAGTCAATTTCATGGTTTGAAACTAATTTGAGGACTTGGTTTTCTGGTTTTGTGTGACCTATTGGTACATATACATGTACGAGGGTCATTCAAAAAATACGTAGACAATGCTTCTCATCGTCATATGATTATTACAAGATTATAGATCAATACATTTTTGTAAACATAAACATTTATTTTGTCGAAGTGTTAAGTTTCATTCCATTTGATTAAATAGAACTCATGTTAGCCAAAATTTAAAGCAACATGTTTTGTTACCACGGAGCACGGTTAACCAATATTGTAACGTCAACAACAACGCTGAGAAAGTTTGTCAAAAGTATACTCATTTTTTTTAATTTCAAACACAGTCTGTAGTGTCTTCTCCATTCAAAACACATATCCACAACACTTAACACCTAGTTTGCTAACAATTGTACAAATATAGCTTGAATAAGAATGTTATTATTTTCATATTCTTTAAATTACTATGCAACTCTATTATTTCTGCAACATTGAAGCACACATCACGTTCATTGACGTTCCTATCTCTTTTGACAATATTTTTATATTTAACCTGTTTCTTTACAGACAATCCATCGTCCGATTCAAACTCGCTACCACTCAAAAATTGTATTTTTAATTTAATACAAATACAAAGATTATTTTTCATACAGATCCTGGTTTAAAAGGATTTTTTAAGCTTGTAGAAGAAGTTTCCTGAATGTAAAGTCTAATTTTATTGCTACTTGCTGCTCCGTGACGTCCTCCAACGTCATGGTTTTTTGCCTTTTTCAATCAAGTCCTTATGTATTTAGAAGCTGATATCTTTTAAATGGAGCGAGATATTACATAACCTGATTTCATTTTAATTAATACAACAATACTTTATTTAAACATGTAAATTTTATTTCGTTTCAGTTCCATTTATTAGAGGTATAGCTGTAAATACTATAAAGTGAAAATTAGAAAAATACTCAATTTTGACGGCGCTCCGTGACCCCATTTTTGCTGTTCTAAATCCTTGGTAATTTTAATAAATATGAAGATACATTCCAATTTTTTTTACTCAAATTATTTGAATCTGTTGTTAAAATATTTGTACCAAATTTGGATATAATATGACGTTAAATAAAAAAGTTAGAACAAAAGTCTACGAACTTTTTGAATGACCCTCGTATGTATATATTTCCCTTGTACGAACCTAATATTTATATACTAATATACAAGAAATATCTGAGAAATCTCCTTCTCAAGAACAACTAAGCAATGTTATGAGTCATATGTATACAGAAGCAACCTTAGGTAATGTAGAATCAAATTTTGTTCAAATAATGACCCTTAAGGGTTAGGGGCACAATAGAGGGTCAATGTTTTACACAATACTGAATTAAATTCTGTTTCTTCCTAGCTAGTATGCTCATGTGAGCAATGTGGCCCATGGGCCTCTTGTTTTGATTTTATCATATTTTTGGTTTAAATCATTCTTTCGTGTTGAATATTACAAGTTAGTTTTAAAATCAAATCCGAGTTTAAAATTTAAAAAAAATCTGTAAATATATTTAATTGAAGTTAAGATTTTGACATAAGTGAAAAAGCCGGGAAAACGCATATCTAATAAAATTACTATAAAAACCTAGGTTAACTTTTTTGCTTAAAATGGTCCTGTAAATGTTGCACAAGCAATGTTGACCTCTCGAAAAATTCTTGATAGGGACGTTAAACAAACCAAACAATGTTCTACTCGCATATATGGAAAGAAATGTCAAAACGATAAATATGCTACACATCGTTATAAATTATTTATTAAGTATTTTTTTTTCGGAAATATTTCAAGGCACTGAACATATCAATCATCATACTATTTAAAACTCTAGCATTTGTATTTTTGTCAGAGATATTTTGGACTGTTTAGCCACACTGAGCGTGGTTACCTAAATCATCAACATTGAGTTTCTATTTGAAGAGTCTAAACATAATAATTATTTTAATTCATCTGATAATTTTATAAAATCTTACATATTTTCTCATAAAAAAAAGAAATGTTTTACTGCAGTATCCGCAAGTCGAGGCACAGTTCTTTGCAGACCATACCAATCCTCTAGAATTGCATTCACTCTGATTGCAGTTTACAGAGGTATCTTGACAAGATTCACCTTTACACCATCCAGTAAGTAAGGCTACAATGAAAAGCAATATATCGGACTCATATGAAAACGGCATAAACATTCTGAGAAACGAAATTATCATAAAAAAAGAAATGTTTTTAATGCAGTATCGGCCATTCAAGGCACAGGTCTTTGGAGACCACACTGATCCTCTAGAATGGCATTCACTCTGATTGAAGGTTACGGAGGTATCAAAAACAAAATTATTTGTTAGTCTTTAAAAGCAATGAATTTCAGTAAAATTCCGTTTACAATGTTTTTCTGTGTATGTTATGCTAGATTGACACATAAATAATTATATTAATTCTGATCCAAGGATGAAGAAACATTTTAAAATTAGTCAAAAGCTGTACAGTTTGCTACATGTAAAATGTTGCTAAACTCACAAACATTAAAATAAATACTTGGTACATGGATTGAAAAATTTAATAAATGTAGATATTTTCAAATTACATCAACAAAGTGCTTTTTATCTGCAATTTCATAATCACGGGACCTCCACTCATTCAAATCTTTATTTCGTGATAAGATTATAATATTCAACCAACGGAAATTGTATTTAAAATAGGATTAAGATAAACTGTTATATTTGCGACTAAACGACTAAACTCGTCAGTGATTATAGATAATAAAATAGGGAAATATGCGAGTGAAGTGCCCTATACGTGTTTTACGTAAAATAGTTTGTCAATGAATAATATTAATCATTGAACAAAAATTGCGAATTGTTGCACGTAAATACTTTTGTGACCTTGCACTAAAAAGTTACATATTTATGGTATTAAATATCTAATAAAAGGTTTTCTTGATATATCATGTTGTAAATTTTGAATTTACTAGGGGGAGGTAAATGCAAATTTTACAACATGATAACTGTTGTAAATTTTGCATTTACTCCCCCCTAGTAAGTTCAAAATTTTCAACATGATATATGTTAATCCAGTATGCACATCCAGTATGCACTGAACGATACTGATCTAGTCGTATAGAATATGAAGCAACATTTAAGTTACAAATAAAACTTACGATGGTATTGTAATGTCAATTTTCAAGAAGTATTATATAATACATGTATCTACCATAAATGATAATAAAAGAAAAACGCAACAGAGAATGGAAGATGATTCATGCCTTGTTTTATGAAAGGCAATTAAAATTGACATTTTAGATATATCAACATCTCCTTAATGTTTTAAATAAAAAAAGAAACTGTCAATGTAATTAAATACTTAATGATAGCATGAACAGCTTTTTTTCAGGAAGAATAATTATTAAGGACTTAATTAAATATGAGTCGTTACCTATGAAAATATTAAATAACCAAAACCAATCATGCAATGCATACTTCTATTTCAAAAGATGTAAATATATTTTTAAATTAAAAGATATTACCATAAGGGGTCTAAATGATTATATTATCAATTTGACAAAAATGATTTAACTAAAATGGATATTGGCTGATCAGAACTTTCTTTCAGAACTTTCTTTATTTTGTCATATTTTTTTTTAGGATTTATTAGTCATTGTTATATGCTTCCAATATCTAAATTTTCTTATTTTCACATACAGATAAGTCATATTTAAAGATACAAAACATTTTTGTCAAAATTATGATCGTTTTCAAAAAGAAAAAAAACACTCTTCGAACTCAGTTTACCATTTCTATTTAAAGTTGTACAAATACGACGAAGGAAGAAAAATGTGACCTTTTAAATCTCTCTAATTACATATAAGCAAATATACTTTTTTAAAAATATTTCATCTATTTAGAAACCATACAAGAATTCCTCCGTAATTATGATGATTACTACCCTTAGTCGGATGTCCAGGTGCTGAATTTTTAGCAAAGTTTAAAACGTTAGCACGATTGTTTGTATTTTCCTTTGAAATCTTTCGGTAAAAATGTTTCCCAAGATATTTTTAGAAAAAGTATGTGAAATAACATAATATTTGCCTGTTTATACAACATATTTTAAATATTTAGAGACTTTATTTATGTCACTTTGGAATAAAAAGCCCAAGGACGTTTCTAATTGACATGAATTTAATTGTAAACAAAATCAGTCATTTATATGCATTTCACACTAAGAGCAAAAGCTTTTGTAATATAACTTACCAGCTGCAAATATAACTATGTTTAACTTCATGTCTATGCTTTGTGCGCCGTACTTTCAGTGCATAATTAAGGTACTCATCTTATATACATATTAAATATTTTATCTTAACACCCATTGAACTTTTATCGAATGACAGGGAGTGAGTGCACTATAGTTCTTTATGTAAATCTCAAGGCTGCCAATATTCTCATGGAATGAAATGCACCAGCTGCATACAGAGTGCAATATCCATGTACATTTTCTTTTACATGTTATGTATTTAGGACCCAGTGATATTGAAAAAGAGCAGAAAATGTGATTCTAAATTTTACGAAATCTAACATGTGTTGTTGGCAGTAATCGAATCGAACAAAATTATACTTCCATATAATTATAATTAAACCTAGATAGATGTAACATTGTACATGTAAAAGGATATTAAGTGTCATCGACCATCTGATATTACAGAGCATCACTTTTTACGTAGAGAATAATAGACAGGTCTTACGAAGTCGACATATTACAAGGGCATATCCTCAACGAATCATGACAAATTTCTATACATAAAGTAAAGGAGTTCATGTTTAAAGATATTTGAAAATCGCTACAAACCTGATGAAATCTTGCACATGAATTATTTCTATATTAGATGTACAGATTAGTTGGTCTGTAAAATATTCAACATACCTACGGTCTAAGAAATGTATTTTTGAAGAATAAATATGTGGATCTGTATAAGTCTGCAGCACTTTACACAAATTCTGAAAGTGATTAAATTATTCTTTTAATAGAATTAAATTTTAAAACCGGGTATGCCCTTGTAATATTAGAATTTATTGATGACATCAATATTGCAGGTTTCAGTTCTCTCACTTCACATCACGTGACAAGTCTGATTAAAGAATGTAACCGTCCTCAACATACTAGTATATTTTTAACCATATTACACGTAAATCTTCTGATAATACATGTACATGTGTAGTTCAGTTCTCAATGCGCAATGCTCAATTTGTTTGCACACATCGTTGGATTTAAGAGATTATATTTTTCAAAAAATACTGATTCATTGCTCAATTGAAACCTTATCATTAGTGCCTGTTTGAAATATTTGAAAATTCTGATAAAGAAGATGGGTGAACATGATGAGTGAAAAGCCTTTAGTGTGACAAACATGAAAGTGGAAAATTAGACCTCGATTATATCAATTTATTCATGATTTTTTCATCTAACATCAATATCTTAATACATGATATGTACATTACATACGTAAAATCTCTAAAATTTGTAAACGTCACAATAATTGAATTAATTGCCTATACACTCTATGACAGTTCATGCATTAATTAAGTCAAAGGTCATATCACAAACATGATTTAAATGTCACTTTTCATCAGGATTTGCATAGTCTGGTGATTAGCGTGCTAGTCATGTAAGAACTCGATACCCAGCAATGGACAAATCTTCTTTAAATAGTAATGTGTTTATTCGAACTCATCGACTGTTATTTCATTGGTTTTTTATTTTAATCAACATCTGTTCATCTGTAGAGATAAGCTGTCTGGAATAATACTGCACAGGAATTTAGGGGCTGATGGAAGGACTATCTTGCAGGGATGCCCATCCTTTCTCATACAGCGCATATGATCTAATAAATAAATTATATGCTTTCCCTTGTATATGACTCAAAAACATGTGTTTTGCAAATGAAAAAAATTAAGACAAATCCCTTCATAAAAATATTTTATGGCAAATTTGAAACAAACCCCAAAATCCCTTAAAAAAATTGAAGACACCAGTCATGAATTATGTTCTGCTGAAGCAACCTGAAAACAGATTTCTTCACTAAGTATTGTATGTAGTTCAGTGTTACGTCGAGTATTTTCTCCAAAGAAAGGCATTGTCAACCGAGGCGCAGCTTGTTAATTTGGAAGTATATCCGAAAGTGGGGTATGTATGAGGAGGTAAATAGACATCCTTTGTCCGAAGCTAATTGTACACTTCCATTTATTAAATTGTCAATAATCAACTAAAATTAAAACTTTTATAATGTTCTCTAGATAATATGCCCATTGCACTGAATCATATCACTAAATAATAGCCTAAGATTACCCTCCGATGTACCTCCATACAAATATATCGCTGCATCAGTTTACCATGAATGTACCATGAATATACGAATAAAATTCATTACGTTGTAAAAATATTACTTGATTTAGCTCTGTCAAGATACAAACTGTGTCAAGTTTTACGAATTGACGTCATTTCCACAAATGCAGTGCCATCAATGAGTTGTTGTCTTTCATTGAAATAGGGGATACTAAGGATCGACCTGTCTTTCTGTCTGTCTGTACCATTTGTGTTTTCTGTGCAATATCTTGAGAACCCTTTTATTGAGTTTTTGAAATGAAATGTTACGTATTACCTACCTGTGACCAAAAACAGCATCTATTTATTTCGATGTCAAAGTTAAAAGGATAATGTCATTAATTAAAGATTGTGTGTTTTAACTCTTTCAAAGACATTAATTTGATTTATTATACTTTCATGTTAAATACTAAAATCTGATTGGTTTAGACGCAGTTAACAATCTGTTCTATTACCCTCAGCCTTAGCAACACACGTGACAACGGATAACACAACGGTAATGCCACATGCGTGGAAATTGTGCGCGTATGGTTCACCGTAGAATTCTCAAAACGTCAGTTGCGCGTTTGAAAGAACCGGAATAAACTTGACGTCAATAAAAGCTTGCGTCCGATGTAGTTTACTTAAAAACAACAAACGACAGACGAAACATGCTTGCGAGTGCAGAAATAACGAAACTTTAGAAGATAAAGGACTCGTAGAGTATCAAATAAACAATAAAGAGGTCAGTAAATCTTTTTCGAAGTAGCGGGGAGTTTAAAAGCTTTCTAAACGTGAACGAAAAGGCGATCGACGATTTGTATTGCTGACATATTTAGTAAATCAAGAAGACATTCAGTATAATAAAATAAATGGTGCCTGTTTTGGAGGGTAACAGTTGAAATTGACACCCCTCGGAAAACCATTGTCAACCTCCGCTGACGCGTCGGTTGACAATGGTTTTCCTTGGGGCGTCAATTTCAACTGTTACCCTCCAAAACAGGCACCATTTATATATAACTTCATGGACAACACAAGGAATATCACCTGTACAAAAATATATGTCTTGATCAGTGCCTGTTCCATCAATGAAACATACTATATGGCGTACATATCAATATCAACGATAGTTAATCTGTTTAATCCTACGTTAAATGATTAATTATACAAATATAATTTATTATAAATATATTGAACAATAACATCTGGTACGCGGTATACGTATTTTTTCTGCAATAACTGCGATATTAATTTCTGTGACAACCAAATTAAGCATTTTGTTGTTTATGTAAATCATCACATGTAATGAGATTGATAAAAAAAAATCAACATATGTAATAAGATCATGCGACTGAGACTTAATACAATATAAGGGTGGCCCACAAAATCTACAAACATTGGTCCCCAACTAGCATCGGTGATTCCACAGTAGGCTGTTTAAGGAATGAATTAAATAGCTCACAAAGTTAAGGTTAAAGTCATAAATTCAAATGATGTATTCTGTCTGTTTTTACATTTGTTTCCGTGCGATATCTAGAGAAGTCTGGTCTTTTGCAATGACATTTTAAAACATAACTCCTTTTGTCCTAAGGAAGACACCTATCGATTTTTAGGGTCGTATAGGTTCTAAAACTTTTAATGTAATTGTGTGATACAAAAAAAGAAATAAACTAGCTTTCTTATAAACAAGATCAAACAAGCTGCACAACAATTCTTTTTTAATTTTCTCTTATCACTAAGTGTAATACATGATACTCAATTATCGACAATAATAAAAAGAGAAGTTAAGATTTATATTAATATTGATAATTAACGTAAAATAAAATTAATAAAATATCACTTACGTCTTCGACAGAGCGTCTGAATTCATTTTTTCTTATCGAAATTACCAGCAAAATTACCAAGCTCAGAGAATTAGAAAAAAAAAACCTACTGAGGCAGTTTTAGTTTGTAGCAAACTTTAAAGGGAAAACGATACGTAGTAGACGTAAAGTGATCAATCAATATTCATACGTGCTTACCTTGCAGAGTCAAACAAGGGTTATTATATTAGATACAATGTATTAAAAGTAACTGAATGCCAAAAAATTCCATTCTGTGCAAAGGATGATCTGAACATTAATCAATGTTCACCTTTTTATGAAAAATGTTTTATCGGTGAAAATGCAATGTACTACAGGAATATTGACCAGATTATTCAGACATATGGATTTTTTATAGAATAAAATACTGAAAAATACAATGTAATGCATACAAATGTAGAAAGAGAGCTCAAATGGTGTTGCTGCAGTTGTTGACAGTTTTCTTATCAAAGGTAAAATTTGTCCAATTTATTTTTGTCGTGGGAAGGGAGTGATGTTAAGACTATAATTTCGAAATGCTTTTGAATCCCAATTTGTCTATGTCTTTTCGTTTGTATATTTGTTCTTTGTCTCTGTACACATTTTTAAAAAGTCCACTATTTTTATGGTTTTCCTGCAATTTCATCAGGATAACTGGACACAAAAGTAAATTACACTCAGATACACAAAGATGCACATGGTTCATTCTTTATTTATCTAGTGAATAATATTGCCAGGATCACATAAAATATTTCAATAGAATACTTTCACAAAGCCAATTTTTCTGCAGTTTGTGTCTGCCTCCATTAAAATTAGGCATACAAGTAACGAACAGAATGAAATATAATTTTGTTTACACAGTACAGTTCCAGGTGTGCACTGGCAATATCGACAATATTTTGTAATTAAATTGTTTTTAACAATTCCATAATGTACCAAAAATAGTCTATCTTTCTTTTAATTGGCACTTATCTTGCAAAGACTAATATATGGTGGAGGTTAAAAAATTGAAGCAAATTTAATTTGAACTGCTAAAATTTAATAAATACTGAATTTTTCACTAAATACATACAATTAAATGATCATGCTACATTATACATAACATATGTACAGTCATATGCATGTAGACTCTCATTTCCCTTTCAAACCACAATCTATACAATGCAGTAATCTATACAAAAGTCTTTTTCAGCCAAGTAGTATCTTGAAATACACAATTTTACCTGAATTATTTATTTTTTTGCTTTTGATCATGTTTATAAAAGGAATTCTCTATAATTTGAGTGACATGGATACAAGTAAATTTAATATTGAATTTTAATGATATATTTCCTATTAACGACCATGTCTGCTGTGTATCAAATTGTTATATTGGTTATACCTTTTTGAGTTAACAGATGTATACAACCATGCTATTGTTACGGCTTACGGCTTTAGATGTTTAGCGGCGTAACATTGTGGGGCTCCTTAATCTGAATGTTGAACGAAAGACAACAGGATATAATTTGTTTTTAATATTTTATTAGATTTTATTCAATAAACATACAAAAATACTCTTCTTTGGCTCTGCGGTCCTCACCTGAAATAAAAACAAACCAACCACCCTTTCCAACAAATGTTAATATAAAAACCACCCTTAAACAAACCCTTTAATAAACACGAATAGACCTTATATCTTTAGGTCTTGAACAAAGATTGAACTAGTGATTTCTTCACTAGTGAGTAGGCCTATAAATATAAAATGTCAGATAATACTATTAGCAAACAACTAATTGTATAGGGACAAAAAGTTATGCTAACATCTCAACAAAACTCAATACAATGCACCATGCATTTGTTAGTTTGTTGTTAGTAATAATGTCAGGAGTTATAAATATCAAGTTCAGGTCACTTCTTGTGCCTTAGTAAATACTACTCAACAGTAAACAATAACGATGAGTTCAGATCACCACTTGTGTCTGAGTAAAATGAATGAATAAAGCAACCAAACGTTGCTAACAAATTCAGGTTAATAATTACCCATCATGTCAATTTGTTTGTCTCTCTGTCTAAAACAGAACCCTTTGTGATGGGGAGACTGCCTTGTTCGGAGTTGGTCCGTCAGGTAGACCTTTCCGTGGGTGAGACCGCAGGCGTCTGACCGTTAGACGCTGGGGGCTCGTATGTAAAGCCTTTACAACCTTTATGACGTCAATCACTCAATGCATGAGATTTGGCGCCATAACGTCAAATAGCTGGAAAACTTCGGATGCACTTAATTGTTATACTCATCAGAGGTGTTCCGAATGTAGTTTACATCTTTTACCGCTTAGTATAGCTATTCCAGTTGACGCCATTTTACACTAAGGACGACAACTCTCGCTGACTACCTGACGGCCATATTGGATGAGATTGTGGGTCAGTGCAGACGGGTAAGTAATGATTTATCTGTAAGTGATAATTACAACCCTGTCATCTCGATCTTAAATAATTTTCCGTTTTTTAATGACAAAAAATGCATAGACAGTTGTTAAATTGTTTAGAATTTAGTTGATACAGGTATTTTTAAGAATACACGTGCAAGTTGAAAGAAGTGTAATTGGGGTGTATTTCACTATTTTATATAATTGTGGTATGTGATTGCGGTGATTTTTTTATGTAAAGCGATACATTATACATTTATTTTGATACTAGCATATTAAAAAAGGCGCAAACTTGTTGCGTTTTTTTGGTTAGAATAAAAAACGTAAACTTCGATGCTTGCTCAGTATATTATTACCTCCCTTCCATTATAGTCTGTTTTTTTTAAAAGAATATTTCTGGTTTAAGATACATTTAAGTAATGCCTTGAAAAATTAATTTGATTTATTTTATTAAGGTTCACATATCATCTGTGAAAGTGGCAGTTACTCTGAAAGAATTTTCCATACAAGGTAAATATTATCACAATACCATACTTTCTATTATTCTCTTTAGATAAGTGGACAGGCTTTGCCCTACATCCACTTTCCTTCACAAACCCTCAAGTCTTCCAGATTCAATAAATGAAGACCTGTGAAGAAAAAAGGATGTAGGCGAAGCATGTCCACTTCTCTAAAGAGAATAAATTTCTATGTGTGCTTTTAATGTTTGTGTCGTCATGCTTTTTGTGCTGTTGCAAATGTATGTGTAAAGCTTATCAATGTATTGTCATTATGTTCACTTCATACAGCATATATATGGTAAAATTCTAATTAACTGCACATTCATATGCACCATGTCTCTAACAAATGAGAATGTGAGTGAAATTTTCATAAAAAATGAAGGCAATGTTGCAAATACATGCAAGGCTATATGTGACTGCCTTCAGTTGGATTCAGCTTCAATAGTAAAGTCAAGTTTGTTCTTGAAAGTCCAAAAAATATTCAAAGAACTTCAAAGACTCAAGAAATACAATAATAAGGAAAAATATAACATATTTCGAAACAAATTATTCACATTACCAGCTAGTAAAAAAAATATTCAATCAACATCGAGTTCTTCAGTGTCCATATCTACTTCTTCTGTGTCAACGTTGACTTCTTCTGTGTCAACGTTGACTTCTTCTGTGTGCACATCGACTTCTTCTGTGTCACCATCCACTTCTTCTGTGTCAACGTCGACTTCTTCTGTGTCAACATCAACTTCTTCTGTGTCAACGTCGACTTATTCTGTGCCAACATCAACTTCTTCTGTGTCAACGTCGACTTATTCTGTGCCAACATCAACTTCTTCTGTGCCAACGTCGACTTATTCTGTGCCAACATCAACTTCTTCCATGTCAACGTCGACTTATTCTGTGTCAACATCGACTTCTTCTGCGGCCTCATCAACTTTGGCATCCTCATCAACCTTTGTGGCCTCATCGACTTCTTCATCAACAGATCTTTTACAGGATATTGAAAAAAGCATCAGAATTCAACATCTTGAAAGAGAAAACCATAAATTGAGAGAAAAACTAAGGAACATTAATGTTAAATCAATGAACCAGAAACTTAAAAGAAAATCTGAGAAAGTTGTACATTTACAAGAAAAGGTAAATGAATTTGAAAAAAAAGAAACTGAAAAGAAATATAGTAGAGTTGAAAAGGGTGTGCAGTGCAACGTTTTAAAGTCATATATTGAAGACTTGAAAAAAGAAATTGATGCATTGAATGCAGAAAGAGATGAAAATGATGATATGAAAGAATCATCAGAATTTGTACATATTGGGAAAAATGTAGATTTTAGAGAAAAATCAAAGGGCAGACCTTTCAATTTTAAGTTAAGAAAGTTATACTATTTTTTTATCAGTAATAATATTGGTGTGCAGCATATTTCTCCTGTTGTTGAAGCTGTTTTAAATATTTTTGATATTCATGTAAAAAATTTACCAAGTAAGAGTACAACAGCAGTTTTATCAAGTGAAATGGGTGTTTTATCTAAAAATCATGTTAAAGAAGAGCTTTTAAATAGTAAAAACATTACAATGCACAGAGATGCCACCACTAAAAAGGGAAAACATTTTTATGGTTTGCAATTTAATACTGGAAATCAATTTTTAACTGCTGGAATCAGAGAAGTGCCAGATGGCAAGGGTGAAACATATGTAAATAGTACGAAAGAAATGTTGTCTGATATTTCAGAGAAAGAAAGCGATAAAAAAAGTATTTTAGAATCTGTATCTTGTTTTATGACTGATAGAAGTTCCACGGAACAGAAAGTAAATTCTATTTTATCTAGTGAAATTTCTCACGATGTTCATTCTTTTAAATGTTCAGTGCACCCTCTTTTACAATTTTCAGATGTTTGTTTACAAGAGTTTTATAATATTGAAAAAGAATTAAATATTCATTTTGATGGACATTCCAGTACACCTAAAGATCCTTATGTCATGTTTATTTTAAGAAGTGTTTCAAAATTTTTTTTTAAAGACGGAGTAGGTGATCCGAAATTTAGTCGAGTGTTTTTGAAAAGTCACGGAACAGACAAACTCCCTGTGATGAATGTAAGAGGAAATCGTTTTAATTTGTGTTTTTATAATGCTGCTGGTACATTTTTTATGCATCAACTTCTTTTACAATATCTTTTATCCTCGAGGAGTTCTTTTAATGTTGTTTTGAATGCAATTGTTACATCATTGCAAAGCAAAGTATTTTTAACAATTTTGAGAGCTCTTGGTTTTATATGTAAATTTATTACGGAGCCATACTGGCAGAAAACTTTAGAGTTATGGAATATTACAAGTATAAACACTGTGTATCAAAGACTTTTATATGTTTTAAATGTTATTCATAAAAACCCTTCAGCATTATTAAAAAGGGAAATCAAACTGTTTGAAGGTCCAGATTTTTATGACCCTGTGTCAGATTTTTTATGTTCTATGTCGTTAAATGATGACTTTACATGTGTTTTTATTAAGAGGTGCATTAGTGTTTTAATTGACAAGGCAAAGAAGTTGTTTGCAGATTTTTTAGAAGGAGGAAAATATTTTAATTCATGTTCAACAGAATTTTTTAAAGAATGTTCATCATGTTCGACAAATAATATAACCATTGAACGGTTAATGGGTCAGTTAGATTTTAAACTTAAATATGCTGCCACCTCATCTGTAAATACAATTGAGAGTATTTTAATGTATAATAATAATAAAACAAAAAAATGGTTAGAAAAAAAAAGTGAAAATGAACAGAGGAACATTGTAAATACAGCTAGAAAAGACAGTAGAGCTTTTTTAATTGAAAGTAAGAGAAGGAAAGAAGAATTATTTAACAAACATTTGCAGACTATAAAAGAAAAAGAAGAGGAGAACAAGAAGAAGAAAGAAAGAAAAAATGATGCCATCGACAAAGCGTTAGACGATATTCACAGACATGGATTATGGGCTTCAGTGACTGAAATTAATGAAAAATTGTGCATTTTAAAGACAAAGAAGGAAAAAATGACAGCGTTAAAAACTCAGATTAATATTTATAAGAAAGTTTTTAAAGTAGAACAAGAATTTAGACATTTATTGTGTTTTAGCAAAAAAGGAAAAGTATTTGACGAGAAACAATTGAAAGAAAATTTGATTACACTACTGAAAAAAAGAAAGGAATATCAAGAAAGTATTGCATGTAACACCAACCCGAGGGACTTTGTATCCAGACAAATATTACACACATGGACAGATAATGGAGAGGACATTGAATGGGAGGGACAGATTTTAAGCTACAGCAATGGGGTGTTTAAAGTAAAGTCATTTTAAAAAGAGATATATTATTAATTTCACTGTTTAACATTCACTAAATAATACTGCTTTATTTTAATTACAAAAGAGGTATGTAACAATATGAACGTACCAGAATCTTATCATTTTTAATAACTTTCATACATTTCATTTATTGTACATATCTTTTAAACTTTTATTACAGGCAATTCAATTTCATTTTCAAAAATTGATGTAATGAATACTTTAAAGTGATAGTCTTTTTAAGTTTCCACATAAAAATTGATGAAAAACTTCAAGTTACATACCTAGCACTCTGAATATTTATGGTTTCAGGCTTTATTTATTTTTATGCCCTCTTCCATGAAGGAAGGGTATATTGCTTTGCAGGTTTTTGTTGGCCTGTCTGTCTGTCTGTCTGTCCACCAACAGTTTCCATTAATTTTCTTTGCAGAGTTTATAAGTTCAGAAATGACTTTGAAATATTCCGTTTGTTGGCCATTGTCGCAAACCACTGCCAAAATGTATGATCCTCTCCCATTCTGGCTGTGGTTGAACGAGGAGAGAATTCTTTGTAGCTCATTAAAATATTAACCAATGCAAGTAAAGCATAGTTGGATAATGAACTTTATCGCGACCTTTCAATATCCAATCACAGTTCACAAAATATTCTTTGTATACTGTTGATGTCAATGTTGTGATGTAAACAAAACTTCCCACTAATTGAATATGACGTCACAATAGAGAGACATAAATATTTAAGATTACAACACTTTTTGTGCCCAAGAAGCAATGGGTAGGAGAGAGCTTTATGCGGACTCTAGACTGTGGCTCGAGATGATGGTTGTTGGAGTGGGGAAATAAGTGCTTCACAAAACACATCTTGTTTAATTAATTAACATTATGAAGTAAATGTTTAAAAACCCATGGAATCAAATGGTTTTCTTATAATGTATTTATATTGATTAAAGACAGATTTATTTGCCATATCATTTTCATAGAAATGGGTTTATAAACAAGGAATTTATTGCATGAGGTAATGATCTTAGCAGGGTTTTGTAATGGTGCATATTTACACCAATACTTTTATGAAAGCATGTCACAGCATGCATGCAAAATTTATATATTTATTTCCAATCTTACAGAAAAACTCATTTACTATTGCCAAAAATACTGCAAATTCTGTACAATGCAAAATTTAGTTTTGGTTCCCCAGCTATATAAATGATATTAATTTTGGAAATGCATAAATTTAAAAAAAAAATAAAGAAAAGAAATAGCAAACTATGGTAATCAATATTGCTGAGTTTTACTGTATTTATAATGATAAAATTGTGTAACAAAACTTATTGTTCATAGGTCATTAAAAAATAACTATGCATAAAGTACAACACCATATTATGAACAGTTGTTTCTGTCTTGTATGTTTTTGTCTTTGTGAAATATAACCATGTATTTATGTTATTTAATGATGTAAATGAAATTTTATTTGAAAGCAAAGTAAAAACATCAGGAATAAGACATAAATGAGTTTCTGCTATTATTATGATTGCATCATTCAGGGTTACTATAAACCATTCAAGTGAGTATAAATATATATACTTATATCTTTATATATATTTATTTCAGGTTCTGTACTGGAATGATACCGAGAAGACGGACAGCAGCATATTTGAGCTAACAGAAAGAGAAATCAATACAGACATCAAAGAAGGGAATTTATTTTTCAAAGGTATGTTTAAAAAAAATTCTAATATAATTTAAATTAAACATTGAGCTGATTTAGAAAAAATATTGGTTTCTACTTAACAATGAAAATTCCTATTTTAGACACAGGAGCAAAATTGGATCACAGTTATAGCACATTTTGAAGCAGACTATAAGGTATGCCTTACAGAGTTACCTTCAAAATGTTATTAAATTTTATTGGAGTTATTCCTCTTTGGTAACATTAGTGGTGTAATTTTATCTATATATGGATCTAATTTACATATTAATTAGCAAACAACCAATGAAAATCTATTTATTTATAACTAAGTTACACACATACAAATAATATTTTTGTGCTTTAGAATTAAAAAACTCTTTTTTAATTTTTAGGTGGAATAGCTACTTAGTATGAAAAACAGAGTGTAATTATAAGGTTTTTTACTCTAATTATCAGTGAATGGATTAATTAATTATCCAAATTATCAGAGGTAAGCACATTAGGTACTATGTAATTGTATTTATGATGCAGTCAATGGTTTATTTACGTTGCGTATTCCTCAAAACATGGAGGAAATTCGGTACGAGGTGAACAATTTGCATCCAGATCATAATAAATTCCAAATAACATTAATGAATAATAACAGATAAATAATAATAAATGTCAACACATATCATTTATTCAATCATTCATCGAATCATTATTTTAACGATTCATATCACAAGAAACATCTTATTTACTTATTCATCACAATAGTGGAGAATGCCAAATTCGTAACACTATAACCATCAAAAACGTTCTGGATTGATTATTTGTAGGATGCTGTTTATCCTCATCAGGGTGACCGTTTGTATTTTGCTTTCTGAATCTTGTGCAATCGATTTCAAGAACGAGTATAAAGCAGCCTGCTTGTTTCCTGCAATTTGTTGACAGATCCCCAAAACCTGCCACGATACGTCTCCTCTCATCGTAGAGGGAGGCTCCTCTTGGTCTTGGTGAACAAGTGACTGAAGTTCTTGTAGTGCTGTTTGTGCGTTCACTGGATCAATGTTTGTATAGCACAAGAACTCGAGCATGTGTAACAGAACAATGTTTGGAATTGCCAAAAAGAATGTATGCTCGAGTTCTGTATTTTTTATTCCATACATTTGTTCTGGCCATAATTCTTTAATATAACAGATTTCGTTTTAAAGTCTTATTTCACCTGCGCGTATTAGTGCTATCCTTCTGATATATCTATTTATCTCGGCGTTTTCTATACGAGAAGTTAAATTCATTATTGTTTCTCCAACTTTTTCATAGAAGTAACTCAAGCAAATTTTGTATAACTTGTCCTTTGCAATTTTCAAAGTAGAAATAGCTTTCATATATCTAGAAGTTCTGTAGAAATACATGGATATATAGAGTATTTCAGAAACGGATCCGAATTGTGCGACTAATTTCACCATGGGGATGGATATTTTATCCGTTATATACCTTGATCTGTTTTTGCCTTTACATAGATATCCATTGTGCAATATAAAGGCTGTTCTCTGAAGCATGGTTGTTACCAATTTCTGTAACATGGAAACTTGATATTGTGTTAATGGTTTAAGCGACAATTGTTCTAGAATTGTTAAATATTTTAAGCAGGTGAACATGTCTGGACTGTACAGAGAATCATTCACTTCTATCTCATGTGACGGTGCCATTCTGATTTCTGACTCAAAGGTCAGAGATTTTTCATCTGTGCAGATGTGCTGACTTGGATTGATCATTACTTGAATAATATAGGGGCTGATGGAAGAACAGTGTAAAAGGCATGCTATACTACCCTTTTCGTACAACCCATGCAATCTCAGAAACAAATTATTTTGTGCTTCCCCGTAGATTTTACTCAGAAACATGTTGTTTGTTGGAATGAAAAAATTAGGACAAACTCCTTCATACACACATTTTAGGATAAACTTGAAGCAAATCCAGAAACCCTCCAACAGATTTTTAGGACACCAGTCACGAAATATGTCTTTCTGAAGTACCCTTAAAACAACTGTCTTCACGTGATAGGAACTCAGCAATTGTTCGTGAGTACTTAACCCATTGTTGATGACTTCCTTTAGGAACAATTTAAGCAGACCATACGTTAAAAACTGACAGTGGTTCATGGAGAATACGAGTTTACGCTCCCCTGTGGAGAAAGAGATTCTCCATTCTTTATCTTCATGATGTCCTACCATGGACCCTATTGCAACAAAATGGCATCCATTTTTGACTATATCATCGATAACACGAAGCCCGGGCCATGGCCTGTGACATCTTTCTATAAATGAGAATGCTGATGAAGGCCAAAAGTCGCAGAAAAAGCCCATGGCCTGGTCCATTTCAATACCCAGTTCCACACTAGAGAAACTACTACAAGGTCCATGCTCTGTGAATTGTTTATGTTTATATAAAAGAGCGATTTGTCTGAGCAAGGAACTACATATATAAAGTGTGTCATTCACTCTGATACATGCTAATTGCACTGCTACAGTATTTGTTCGTTTCAGTAACTTAAGTAATGTATAACCTGGGGGACTTTTAGAACTATCGGAGAGAATCAATGTTTCTGTATTTCCATTGTAAATTTGAGCCTGGTTCAAGGTGAAGATAACTTTGTGGTTTGCGAATCAGAGCAAGCTGTCTATGTCTGAACCCTTAAGTCTGAATCCTTCTCGATAACTCCCGGTAGTCATCCCACAGACGTCTTTTTCTAATTGTTGGAATCTTCGCACCATATCCAAAAGATCCCCACCTTCTCTTTTCATGGTCACTTCTCGTGAAGTCCCAATAATTCGGCATAGTCCCACAAACACTGACTCTGACATGCGTTGCAAACCAATTTCCCTTTAAAAATGGAAACATAATGGTAGTAAGAACTACGTGCGAATTATACGACTTAAAATGCATAACAACAGTTTTTGACAATATGTCCTGGCATGGACCGTAAAGTAATGTCACTGTAATTCATAAATCTCATCTCTAAAAACAAAATATATCAAATACATCTTGATTTTTTTTTTAATAATCTAGCTTTCATGCTTCCTAAAAGTTATCCTTTCTCTAAAGTTAAAATGTAAACTCTAACAAAATTACAGTTTTACATCATAGAATTTTTTTTATATTTAATGAGTGAAATAGATATTAACTAAAGAAAACCCATGGCTTTGTATAAAGAAACCCCTGCATATGATTCTTCCTTTGTGTCCTCAAATTCTGTAAATGTTTTGTGAATCATTATGAAGAAAAGTTTGGGTGAATTAATTTAAGAAGATATGGAGATCACGAACAGTATTCAATATCAAAGTCCATAAAACAATACAAAAAAGGAGCAGAGCAAACACGGACATAATCATCAGAGGCAGGATCAGTTGCCACGGAGGAGTGATATCCCCTGCTGACCGGTCACACCTGCCGTGGGCTTCTGATTGATTGTCAAATAACGGGAAAATCCGTCGTCAATTCAGTGTATAAATAATGGACTAACAATTAATATGAAAAACGTCAGTTAGCATTTGACTCAATGATAAATTGCATTTGCTGACAAGGTCATTGCATCGACCGTAGAACTTACAAAATGATGACTTTAAACGAGACTGCTGATGTTCTTGTTTCATCAACTTGCTTGTCAATAATTTACCTCGTTTTAAAAATTGTTCAAACGTAGAACATGTTCTTGCGTATTGAATCAACTAATATTTACACCGTATGCAGGTGATGAAGGTGTATTGCTGCATACATAATGGAAGATGATTAAAGTTTGGTGCCACGGATTCCCCTACATTTACTTTATGACACTCAGTTCATAACAAGGACGGGTCCTACGCATTTCAGAATTATCTGAATTGTGCTGCTCATTTTCTAAATTATTCATATTAGATTGTTTGCTTAATCTGACTTAGTTCTCATTTCTCTTTGTTGCACTTTTTTTCATCATCACATCATTTCAATGATACATGTAGTCGTCAAATAACTTTGTTCTTATTGCAAGCACACCTTCAACTCGTTGGGCGGAGTGCAGGATAATCTGCAATTTACTGGACCAGAATAAGAAAAAGTTATCATCATAAAAATGTTTTGATATTAAATATATTTCGTTGGGTTTTTATATACCTGTATAGGTTACGATTGACTGCTGTTATTTCCTGAGTGAAGTTACAGTATACATGTACCGTGTGCGGTTGCATTCCGACGTTTTTAACTGTAAAGTGTCGGTCGAGTGATCCTATAATTCAAATGTTTTTTTAAGCTGATGTTCTTTTGTCATGTTAAATATTTCCTTCTTTATGGATTAAAAAAGTCTTCAAATATTTTAAGGTAAAGGAAAATTCATAGGATGGACTAAAAGAAGCCCCCTTCATGTTTTCATGGTCTGTTAGATTATTAACATCTTCAGTTCTTTATTTATCAATGTACAAACTTTAAAATTAATATTTGCAAATGTTTATATATATACATGTATAAGATTTATACACTACTGAAAGCAATGCCTATCTATAACCGTATAATAGGCCTTTCAACTAAGTTTTCAAGTTGCACATATGGTAAAAAACATTGCATAGATAGATTTATAGGTACATGAAATTATCAAAAAGATAATAACTTGTGCATACATTAAATTACATAATTAAAAAGTTTAATTATTTATAATTGATTTTTCCGATGTTGTGTTTTAAGGATAGGTAACTCAGGTGTGAAAAATGACCAACTCAGTGCCGATTAATGAGTTATCGTTTATAGGAATGAATATAGGCTGCTTCAGCATTGGTATCGTTATGTACACAAAAGGGTTCCTTACATTGTTTTGTACACAAAAGTGTTGACCATGAGAAAGAGAATGCCTTCACTCTACCTGAAATAACAGGGTCAAATAGATGGGGAACAGACTATATTCAATATGTTTAGCTCTCTTTGACAATTATTATGAAGAAGAAAATTTCATGTCATGTTTTTGTTTTCGCGCTTTTTTGCTTCCTATATAAATATATATATTTTTACAAGTAAATGCAGCAACTGATCATCTTACTTGTGTTACTTAGCACGAAGGGGAACGACCGAGTATAAAAATTTAATTAGGTTAAAACTTAAGATTTAGGGAAGATTTCACTTTTTATTTTAATTAAAACTTTTAATTATATGAAGTGAAATGGTGTCTGCAACTATACATTAAATAAGTTTAACATTGGTGCTACATTTTAAAACCACTGGATTCTTCTGAGAGCAAAGAAACACTTAGGAAATGCTAAAAAACTGCCTTTTGTGTAAAAAGTTAGATACCCCGAGCCTGCTCTCAACATGTTCCGACAGTGAGTTATCGTTCATAAAACCGACCCCTAGCGGCAGTTGAAAGGCCTACGTATAAATACAAGGACCTGGTTTTCAAAAGAACTTCCGACTAAGACATATTTCAATACATATAATTGTTTTATTCACAATTAATTGAGAATAGCTTTAAACTTTTTCAAAGGAATAGAAAGGTATTTTCATAGTAGAAATTTTATACTCAATCATTAATTTTGCAAATTTTTGCAAATAACTCAAGTTTTCGGTCTTAGTCGTAAGTTCTTTTGAAAAACAGGTTTCTCGAATGTCACAAACGTTTGACATAATTTATGTGACGTCATAAAAGGTTGAAACGCATACATGTATATGCCGTTACGTTTAAAGAATAAAACGTTCCATGCATTAAAAGTATCAATCAGGCAAATATGCTATTAGATATACTGTAGATTGGCAAATATTCACGATGGTTTTAATTTCGCTATGTTCGCGATTTATTAATTTTCCGCGAAATTAAACCCATCGTGAATGTTATTATTAGTTTTTGATAATGTTAATATGCTTATACGAAATTTTGAATTAATTTCTTGCAGCGTGAAATTAAAGCCATCGCAAATGGTACTTTTTGAGATATCGTGAAATTTTAACATCGTGGAATTAAAACGATTTACAGTACACAGTCAGTTAGTGACCTAATACGGAGTCATACAGGGTGTGAAATAGAAATCCGTATTGGGCGAGGTGACCTTTAATACAAGACATAGCCCTAATGTGTATTTAGTATCTCATGTTAAAGGTACATATACTTTATATTTATTATTATTATGTTTTATAGTCGATCTTTTTAAACGTGATTTCATAATTAAATGATATGATGTTACATCTGTGTGAAAAGCAGTCAAACAAATGAGAAATACTAGTATCACTAGTATACTAGTGCTATTTAAAAAAAAAAATACAAAAGTTCCATGATTTGCACTGTTTTTGAGTCACTGCAAAGCAAAGAACTGCTTTAAAAAGAACAGATACAAAGACGGCTACATTTTACGAGAAACCATGAAAAACTTTTTGGGAACTATCACCATCCATCAGCAAAAAGTATATGAAAATCCTACCAATAATTATTTGTGAACTATATTTTAAATTAGTTAAATAAACTTAAAGAAAGTTGGAAATCACTTATAGAATATATTTTGTTGCCTCATTACATTATTTCTCATAATAACAATGTGACTTTAATTTGTGTGAAAGTTTAAAAAGTGCGTTAAGCTGTATTTACCAGAAAGCTTTCGGGCTTTATGGAATTAAAGTTAGTGATGATCAACCCGTATTCATATCCCGACAGATGTTTGAAAATAATATCTTATTTCTCAAATGACGTAGCTTTTATTGTTGCGTCCTACTAATGCTTATGTATGAGGGTGGAGATGTATGTTTTAGTACTACAAAATTGAAAGAAAGGGAGTGCAGACTGGGGATGTTTGTGTAGCGCAAAAAAAAAAAATAAAGAGTTAAAAGAATATAGTTCAAAGGGTGGGGATGTACAATGAACATAAAAGAACAAAGGAATGGGATGTTTGTTTCATGTCATGAGCTAGATCCATATTGCTTCTAATGATAATGATAATTATAGAGAAGTATAACAGCCCATGACAAGAAGTAACCGCCTTGCAGAAAGGATATTTTTATGAAAAACTTTGCTTTGCATTTGTTTCATCGTGCTGAAGAGGATTGAATCGAAAGCTTAATAATAATGTGATGACGATAATGCAAACCGTGCAAAGAAGATTGGGCATTGATATATGTTGGCAAGGAACTGATTTTGACTATCCCTTATTACATTCTCTTCACTATCATCGCTATCTCGCTATCGCAACATCGTTATTATCCAAATGTCGCGCTATATCCATAATATTGTTCATTTGCGACTCAGTTCTCATGGCATTAAAATAATTTTACTGAATCTATATTTTTAGAAATTTTAGTTTCGCCGACTTTAATATACATTTTAAAAAATGCTGATCTGACTTACATCTGTACTGGAAAGTTCGTTGCCATTTTTTTTCTGGTAGAATTCCGTTTCACAAATTTATTCTAAAATTCTTTTCTTATTTGTAGTTTCACCTTGTATCACCAGGATAAAATCACTTGGATGGAATCAACAAATTCAGAACAGCCTCTAGACTCAAAGTCAATATTTTGATTAATTAATGATATTTTTTAACTGAAATTGACCTTCTGAGACTTGCCCAGTATTTGCATTCGCTAGAGTAGTTTAAATTGAGTCATATAATTTCATCTTGTCATGCTTCAGAAATGTCCTTCATTTTGATGTGCATCACAGGTAAAATTGTAAAGCTAGATTGTTTTGTTACCTGAAGAGAATAAGGCTATGGAAAAGGATCAGGTTTAATAGAATACCTTCAAATCCGTGTATCAAATTTTGTTTGTGTTAATCAAAAATATCTCTGAACATTTTTTGGGATATAAATACAGGTGGGTCACGAGATCAAAGAGCCATCGCGCATTTGATAGTTACTTTCCCCTA